GGGGCGGGGGTGAGGGTGTGGAGGCAATAGTTTGGTGTTGTCATAGGGGGGGGGGAAGGATGAGGTTCTATGGATAGGGTGGGATGGAGTGTGATGGGGTAGGTATGTGTGTATGTGTGTAATGGTATGGTTAGACTATCCACAAATTTCACTGGATTCCAGCGAATTTCTGTGGACTGGGACCAACCTACCCATCCGTGGTGTTCATTGCGAAAAGAACCATCGGCTTTGTCCAGTTGAATCGCGGCATCAAAACAAACCGCAGAAATTCACTATGGATCCCGTAATGGTCAATGCATTTGTTTTTACTTTTTATTCGTATTTTAACTTAAATTTTAATATGAATAATTCTGATTAGTTTCAAATATATAATATTTATAAAATATATGCATACTATAGATTCTCAACACGTGTGATTTCTCCATTCGTCCATCGAAGGATGAGTGGGTATCCATCTCATCGAACATGTGGGCGAAAGTCCACTGGATTGAGGCCATCGGCGGGCAAAATGCCATTAAAAATCGCTGGATTTCACGAATAGTCTGACCGTACCTTAAGTGTTTCTATCGAGGTACGGTCAGACTAATCCAGCGATTTTCTGTGGGCTGGAACCAACTCACCCATCCGTGGTGAGAGGACCATCAGCTGTGTCCAATGGAATCGCGGCATCAAAATAAATCGCAGAAACTCACTATGGATCCCGCAATCTTCCTAACTCTTGCTATATTTTAAAAGTTTTTGGAGTTCTAATCTTTTCTAGGAGGCAATAAATTTTTCAAAATTCCACATTTCAAATATTCACTGGATCTGCGGTTTCAACGCAAATGAGAATCCATGTTCAATGCGTTTGTTTTTACTTTTTATTCGTATTTTAGCTAAAATCTAAATGTAAATAGTGATGTAAAACTAAATATAAATAATTCTGAATAATTTAAAAAATATAATATTATTCATGTTTTGAAATAAAAATATATGCATACCATGCATGCTAAAGAGTCTCAATCCGCAATTTTTCCATTCGTCCAACGATGGACGAGTGGGTATCCAGCTCATCGAACGTGTGGGATAAAGTCCAGTGGATGGACTTCGATGGGCGAATCCCAGTAAAAATCGCTAGATTTCATGAATTTATGGGTAGTCTGATCAAAACTTAGAGGGAGGTGGTTAAACCAGTGGGTGATTGTGTCGTGGCTGTGTGTGCGTTTGTAAGGAATTTCCAGCTGATAACGTCACGAAATCATTATTCATTCCAATAGAAATTTTGAAATTGCAGTTATAAAGAATTAAAGGTTAGCTGTTGGATTAACGATTAAGCCGAGAAGGATATAGTGGGTAGGCCTAAGCTATCATAGACATTGCTGTCTTCTAGCCAGTTAGCTAAAAAAAAAAAAAAATGGTTCTTGGTCCAAAAATGAAACAATGAAATTTCTATGAATGTTTTGATCATCTTGAAAACTCTCTCTCTGACTCTTCCTCTCTCTATCCCGTCTTTCCTTCCTCTCCTCACACCCCCATTCTCGTTTCCTTTCCCTTACTCCCTCTTCCCCTCATTCCATCTTCCTCCTTACCCTACTTCCCCTCATCCTCTCCCCCTCCCGCCTCTTCTCCCGGCCACATACCCATCACCCTCCCCTTCCCCCTTTTTCCCTTTCCCTCACTCTCTCTTCCCCTACCCCATCCCTTCCCCTCTTTCACCTTCCCTCATCCTCTCTTCCCCCCTTTCATCTTCCCCTCATCCTCTCTTCCCCCCTTTCACCTTCCCCTCACACTCTCATCCCTCCTTCCCCTCACCCTCTCTTCCCCCCCTTTCACCTTCCCCTCACCCTCTCTTCTCCCCTTCCCCTTCCCCTCACCCTCTCTTCCCCCCTTTCACTTTCCCCTCACACTCTCTTCTCCCCTTCCCCTTCCCCCTACCCACTCCTCCTCCCTTCCCCCTACCCACTCCTCCCTCCCTTCCCCCTACCCAACCCCCCCTTCCCCTCACCCTCTCCTCCCTCCCTTCCCCTCACCCACTCCTCCCTCCCTTCCCCTCACCCTCCCTCCCTCTTCCCCCTACCCAACCCCCTTCCCCTCACCCTCTCCTCCTCCCTTCCCCTCAACCCTCTCCTCCCTCTCTTCCCCCTACCCCACCCCCCCCTCACCTCTCCTCCCTCCCTTCCCCTCACCCTCTCCTCCCTCTCTTCCCCCTACCAACCCCCCTTCCCCTCACCCTCTCTCCCCCCTTTCACCTTCCCCTCACCCTCTCTTCCCCCCTTTCACCTTCCCCTCACCCTCTCTCCCCTTCCCCTTCCCCTCACCCTCTCCCCCCTTTCACTTTCCCCTCACACTCTCTTCTCCCTTCCCCTTCCCCTACCCACTCCTCCCCCCTTCCCCCTACCCCAACCCCCCTTCCCCTCACCCTCTCCTCCCTCCCTTCCCCTCACCCTCTCCTCCTTCCCTCCCTCCTACCCCAACCCCCCTTCCCCTCACCCTCTCTCCCTCCCTTCCCCCTACCGTAACCCCCCTCTCCCCCTCTCCTCCCTCCCTCCCCCCTTCCCCTCATCCTCTCCTCCTCCCTTCCCCTACCCCAACCCCCTTCCCCTCACCCTCTCCTCCCTCCCTTCCCCTACCCCGACCCCCTTCCCCTCACCCTCTCTTCCCTCCCTTCCCTCTACTCCAACCACCCTTCCCCTCACCCTCTCCTCCCTCACTTCCCCTCCCAACCCCCCTTCCCCCCCCTCTCCTCCCTCCCTTCCCCCCTAACCCCCCTTCCCCCTTCCCCTCCCCCCTCTCCCCCTCCCCCTCTCCCCTTCCCCCCTACCCCTACCCCCCTTCCCCTACCCAACCCCCTTCCCCTCTCCTCTCTCCCCCTCCCCCCTCCTCCCCCCTCCCCCCCTCCCCCCTTCCCCCCCGCAGAGCTCTACTACCAGGGAACTCCCCGTGGTTTCTACGGGACGAACGGCCTGTGCTTCCCGCTCCACCTGGACGACCCCTGGGTTCCCGGATGGCCGTTCGCTGCCCTGGTGCTCGTCGGCATCAACCAGATCGGGTAGGTGGGGAAGGGGGTGGACAGGGGGGGGGGGGGTGTAGGGGGGGAAGGGGGGGTTAGGGGGTTGGTGGGTGGGTGTAGGGGGGTGGAAAAGGGTGGGGGGAAAGGGGGGTTGGTGGGTGGGTGTAGGGAAAGGGGGGTTAGGGGGGTTGGTGGGTGGGCGGGTTTATGGGGGGGTAGGGGGGTTGGTGGGTGGGTGTAGGGGTGGGGGGGTTAGGGGGGGTTTTGGTGGGGTGGGGGGTTAGGGGGTGGGTGGTGTAGGGGGGTTAGGGTGGTTGGGGGTGGGGTAGGTTAGGGGGGTTGGTGGGTGGGGGGAGTGTTTATAGGGGGTTGAGGGTGGAAAAGGGTGGGTGTAGGGGGGTTGGTGGGTGGGGAGGGTTTATGGGGGGTGAGGGGTGGAAAAGGGTGGGGAGGATTTATGGGGGGTTGAGTGGTGGAAGGGTGGGTGTAGGGGGAAGAAGGGTTTAAGGGGTGGAGGGTGGGTGTGGGGGGTTGGTGGGTGGGGGAGGGTTTAAGAGGTGTAGCTGGGTGTAGGGGGGTGTAGGAGGGTGGAAAAGTTGTAGGGGGTTGGTGGGGGGGAGGGTGGGGGAAGGGTAGGGAAGGAGGTTAAGGGTTTAAGAGTGGCGTAGGGGAGTGGGGAAGGGTGTTTAAGGGTGTTGGGGACGGGGGTTTACAGGTGGGGAAGGGTGACTTAGAGAGGGGTTGATGGGTAGGGGAGAGGGACTTGCGGCCGGTTTAAAATAGCACGAGGCCCGATATCTGTCGTATATATATATATATATATATATATATATATATATATATATATATATATATATATATATATATATATATATATATATATATATGACAGAATATTCATTGGGTCGGGCCTCGCACAATTTTAGCAAAGTGGCCGTTACAGAGGGGTTGATGGGTAGGGGAGGGGTTTCGGATGGGTAGGTGGGTGGGGGGTATGTGGTATAGTTGGGGTTGGGTGTAGACTACACGTGTATAGGGTAGCTAGGGGTATAGGGGTAGATGTGGGAGGAGCTAATTTTTTTCCCCCCGCAGAGCAAAGACTATATATGAAAGATAGGAAAGTACGTATCACACCGTTGAAAAAAAATGTGAGGCCCAAAACAGCGCCATCTGTTGGTCGGATATGTAACTAAGAAAAGAGAACCTTCATAGGGGGGACTATGAATTCTTATAGATTTTTACATTTTTGTTTTAGTTTAAAGGTTTAGTTTCAAGTGAAGTTTTGCATTTTTTTTTATAAGAGACGAAATATATTTATATAAATTTATTAATTATATAATTATTCCATTTCTTGCATACATTAAAATAAGATTTTTTTTTTTTTTTTTTCAGAAAATGACATCACAAAATTATTCCATTGTCTAGATACTATACAATTTTATTGCAGAAAATATCTTTGGTGTTAATAAAATGAATGCGAACTACAATCATTCGACGATAATAAATTTTTGTTATTATTATAACAAGGATATACAAAACATTTATGTAAAACATTTTTTTAAATTTCGTCATCATCAATGAAAGCAGGCCTACAAGTAGAACAAAACAGGAAGCATAAAACAAACAAACACAAAAACAAAACAAAAATCCCTTTCATTGGAGGCACGTATATCTGCCGGATAGATAGAGAGATAAATGTATATATATCTGTATAGATAGACAGATATGTATTTACTTCTGCGTATAAGCATGTCTGTATATACGAATATTCATTGGATAACTTGTTCAAGTGACGTTTCACGATGGTAAACAAACAGACGACACATCGCCTACATAGCACCATCTATTGTTCAGATGTCACACTATCCGCCAACCGTTGGGGCTCACAGACTTTTGCCATGCTTTCCTTGCTTTCCTATCTTTCGTATATAGTTCAAAGCTTCCCATATCTTTCTTTTGCCTTTCCTTTCTTTCGTATATAGTTCAAAGCTGGCCCCGCCCCCAGCACCATCTATTGTTCAGATGTCACACTATCCGCCAACCGTTGGGGCTCACAGACTTTTGCCATGCTTTCCTTGCTTTCCTATCTTTCGTATATAGTTCAAAGCTGGTCCCGCCCCAAAAAAACAACTTTCAAACCAATCATGGTCGACGTCATACGGGAATTATTTACCAATGATGAGCCTGAATTATTGTCAGATGATTTATCACATTTCTGCATTTCTATCAACATTGCAAAACATGTGCATGCGTTGAAATCTATCGTCTACAATGAGCATTAATATTTAAATGAATGATTGAATATGGGTGAAGAGAAATACGTTTAATCTTTCTTAAACTTTCTCCAAACTCACACTTTCAAATGCGTGAGTTTGAATTTAAATAAACTTTTTTAAATTATAGTTACCAATTTTATCGTTTGTGATTCGTATCTTGCAATGTATTTATTCTGTAGTCCTTTACAGAGAATTTGTAAAAAAAATGAACAGAATAATCACATTTCGGATTTATATTTTGGCTTCCGTAAAATTTTAAATGATTAGAAAAAAACAATCCATTCACCCGGAATTATTAACAGAAATAAGGTTAAATATTAGCGCTTAGCAATTCCAAAGTAACAGACAAGTATCATGTATCAAGTATCAGAAAAACGCTAACACGAATCACAATTGCCCACAAAATTAGGTTTGAGTAATTGAAATAATTTCCACAATAGGAAATAACAGCAGTTGGAAATTGATTTAGAAATACATTTACATTAGATAATGCAATTTACTGCGGTTATCCTTATGCACAAGACACTCACAAACACATACACATACGTACATTTTGTGTTCTGTAACTACAACCATTGCGATATTACAATAATTCCCAGTATAGGACAAAACCTCCAAATACTTTGCAACAAATCTTCTAAAAAAAAAAAAAAAAAAAAAAAAGGCCTACATATCAATTTAAATAAAAAATGGCCAATGCATTTTACCTCAAAAGCGGCGATAAGTTTGCGGCCCGCTACATCACATTTGTGTTTTATTGTTTGAGTTTCAAGGCCCTGCTCTTGACTTTATATTTTGAACAGATATTTGACTGTCAGCAAGTGCCAATACAGAATAACATACCATACATAAACTACATGTTATATGATCTGAAATATACCTCTATTCTATAAGTAATTCGTTATAATATCTATTAAATAACATGAAAGGAAAAGAAAGTTCTGTTACTTAGTGTTATTAGTGTTATTATTAATATTATTGTTGTTATTAATATCAGGTACAATGCCCATGCCAAGCTGTATGCCGGCTTAGTAGATATGTAATAAAAATATGTAATTATTCTACCTTTGGATATATACAGATCATAATTTTGTTGTAATGATACGCTAATGCAGATGTACACAGCTTGCCTGGTAGTTAGACAAGTCTAAAACTAAACCTGTCGCGATTACTAAAACCATCCTGGCTGACTCAGATTTTGCGAGAGGATTCCATAGTGGCAGCTGGCGGTCCGATTTGAATCTAATAAGACAGTTGGCCAAGAGGAGAATCATAACCGTTATTCGAGGTCAAAACAAAGTGCAGTAGTACTGTCCAGCAATTCACTGATATGTGATAAATAGTCCTTTGTAGGTGAGGTAAAATTCAGTTTAATTTGACGTGATTTTTCATATTGCCCCATACCCCCCCCCCCCCACCACCACCACCACCACCCCACCCCCCAGAGGATACCCAGTGGCCACCCTAAGCCACGGCCCAAAGACTGGGAACCCCTGCTCTTGACTTTACAGGGTTGTCGATCGCACATTTCACCAAATGTATGTAGCTCTTAAACGTGTTGATCTAAGGTAGACGAGTTAAGAAATTATAAATAGAATAAACGATAAAAGCGACCTAAGTTCTGATACTTTACTTAGAAAAAGTGACTCCTAAACTTTTTTTTTTCCATAACGTTACCTTTTTAACTTTATAGGAAAAGCTCCACCCCCACCCCCACCCCCCATGAGCACCCCTGTCGTTTTTTATGAATAGAAATTATGTTGTACTATTTGGTTATATTGACAATTACTTTTGTTGAACCTTTTGGTATCGGATACACCCTTGCCTGGTGAACATACGTGAAAAGAAATAAACCAGAAGTAATACGAGGAAGCAGTATTAATAAGCTGCACCGTAACTAACGTTCGGAACTGTGAATACAAGGAGAGATAGATAGATAGATAGATAAAGAGAGAGAGAGAGAGAGAGGCAGACAGAAACAGGGCGAGGGAGAGAATGAGAGCGAGAGATAGTATGGGGGGGTTTACATGTGACATTTCAGTGACTGATTCATCTTCCTTCTTTCTTTGGCAGCGCGCCCCGGGTTTCAGAACGACTGACCTAAGAGCTGGTAGCGAACATAAACACAACCGCTATAATTAGTTTTCCCTCATCGTATCAAGTCATGGTTGCATACATGTTATCCGTTGTCGTAAGTGTCATTACCATTACGGAGAATAAGAGAATAATGCACAT